AGAGAGAGAGAGAGAGAGAGAGAGAGAGAGAGAGAGAGAGAGAGAGAGAGAACAGGTAAGTTTCCAATCTCGCGGCTGGCCTCATGGTACTTCCACCGATAGGATGAGCAAATTGGAATGAATCTTCCGCTACAGCATGGAAATATACACCGCCACTTACGCCCGGCCGCTGTTGCGCCTTCTCCCCCGCTCGCCCGTGACCGCGCGCGTGCGTGTGTGTGTGTGTGTAATGTGTGTGTACCGCTGCAACACAGCATGCTATGACACAAAAACTTTGCACCACCCATTCTCCAAAGCATGACTTGCTTTGGCATATCTGAGAGGGTCGGTAGAGGGTAGCATGGGCACGTTTTTTGACAACCGCTGTGCTATTCCAGACTAGTTCGAGACAGTATGCTGCTAGGCCCATGGGACATAGGTAGGAGGCGTTCCCTTCACTTTTCATTTTCAGGGATGCATAAAGCAATCAAAAAGACATGTACCAATCATAGAGGGCAGGTCGCTGCCTACTAGCGGCCATGGATTCTCATAATACCACCTCTTTTTCCTAAGATGCGATCCGTCGAAGCGGCCTCGTAGTCCATCCCCAGCCCACACCTGTTCTAACAGGAGCATTTTGTATGGCCATGTTGAAGGCAGATGCATAAACCATGTCAATAATAATAATAATAGTAAAGGCGAAAAAGGAAAAAAAAAAGAAGAAAAGTCAAACGGCAGAGACCATGGTAAACCATTACTTTCACATACTGGCATGGGGCCACGTCAATGGCGGGGGAGAATCGTGGTATTCGGATGCTCCGGTCCGTTTCTATGGACGGAACCCTTCCCAGTACGAAAGCAAACAGGAAAGACGGAAACTAATCACCCACACTCCCCCGGGGGGGAATTACTCAACAAAAACCTGATTCCCCCTTTTTTTTAAAATAAAAATAAATAAATAAAAATGAGAATAAAAATGAAAATAAAACTAAAACTAAAACCCAGCCCCAGCAGATAAAAAAAACAATATTCATCCCTCATTTTACCCAGTCGGGGATCATATCTAGTCGTGTCAGGTTCATAGAAGTGGAGATGCAGGGAATCCGGGATCGAGCGTCCCATACTCCCTGCTTGACATTCCATTCGTATGTGCCTACCGAGCATCCAGAATTATCAACAATCGACGCACCAATTAAGATATCATTCAATAGAACCAATGTAGGTTTGTGCCTTCGCGGCCGGGTGTATGCATTCCCGGCGATCCGTAAGGATGGGAAGCATTTAATATCCGCCTCTATTAGTCCCAGAGTCCCCGTTAATACGGACTCGAGATGTTACTATGAGCAGGGAACAGTCGAAAAGACTGAGGTCAGTCCAATCGTGTTCTGGCTCGTGTCGCTCGGAGTGTTGATAGAGCGAGAAAAGAAGCGTATATTTTTTTAGCTCCCATCTAGACTCAGCATCAGCACATAAAACACTCACATCTACTCACACACGCATTCACAGTGCCTAGCATGTGTTCAGACACATCTACTCACACACGCTGTGTAATTTCACAATTATTGTAGTATTTTACTCATCCGCTTCCAGTGCAGCTTGTGTTTCAGGTCTATATTTTAGCAGTTCAGAGGTGTACCAACTGAGCTACGCCAGTTGGTACTTGGTATTGTTTTGGCTTTCCATTACAATATTTATGTCGAGAGAAATAGCAGGCAATAACCATCCTCCTGCTCTCGCTCTTTCTATGTCGAGAGGATAAATTTAACCATCTCGCACACCTTTTAAATACTCTGCATAATTGTGTTTTTCGTTTTTCCATGATAATTTCAAGGATGGATTCAAGAGCCTGGGGCAACAGGGAAATCAAATTAAAATTTCTTTTTCTTTTGTTTTCTGTTTTTTTTCAAATTAAAATTTCTATTCCAAAAAATGAACGAAAAAGCACTACGGATGACCTCAACTGAACCTCGTACACAGTCAGAACAAGAAACACTTTACGGCACTAACGAATTAATTTACAGCAAGACTGTCATTATGTGAGCCCGAGAAGGGCATACATACTCACACTCGGACTTTTTCGATTGCGCTCTGGACCTGATTGCGGTCAGATGCATCCAGCTCCTGCTGCACTAACCCATTACACAAAGACTGTCATTATAATTATATCAGCCCCAGACTAAGGGCATACTCACACTCAGACTTTTTCCATTGCACTCTGCATGTGATTGCGGTCAGATGCATCCAGCTCCGGCTGTAATTTCTCTCAGGCAGATTCAGGAAAGTGTCAGTGTGAGTATGCCCTAAGGAATAACATGAAACAGGACCATCTGGCCTAGTAGCTCAGTTGGTACACCCCCCCTGGACTGAACTGTTGAAATACAGACCAGAACTCCACTGGAAGCAGATGAGTCAGATGAGTAACATGCTTCAATTCTGAATTGCCTACCGTCTTCACCCGAATAGAACGCCCTGTCATTAGCCGTATCCGGTACAATTTCGAGTCCAGATACAGCTACTATAATGACCGAGTCCAGATACAGCTACTATAATGACCGGGCGTTCTATTCGGGTTCCCTGGGCTGAAAAGGCCGCCCGGAGTCAGATTAGACACAAGATTGAATTTACCTTTGGGCTGGTTAGTACGATGATAATACCTCACAAGGCCATCGCCCTTTTTTTTTTTTTTTCCTTTTTTTTCTAAACCTGCAGAGGAACGCTGTGAGCACTGTGTATTGATTCAACCCTGAACCAAGACGGAAAACCATGCCCTGTTCGACCGTTGCCGCAACGAACACAGAGAAAAACAGCAAGCAGAAA